CCCGTCAGCAGCAAGGTAGTTCCTCACATTGTAGGTTTAAAAAGGTTTCAATGTGGTTTTTGTAGAATTGAATGAATAATTTATATACATTGCGCATTTCACACCAAATTGGACTAATAAGCGCGTTTTCACTTATTAAAAAGTGTGATAAAATTGCAAGTTTACGTCTAATGGTCGTGGTGTCTTCGGTGCACTTATTCCTTATGATGCAAGCAATAAGTGCTCCGAAGACATCAACACGATTTGACGGAAACGCGCACTTTTATCACACTTTTTGCATTTTTAGGACAGTCCAGTTTCAGCTGCAATCAGCAATATATGGTTGAATGAGAACCAGTGTTTTTTTATATATGTATTTACATATACAAACTGTAAACAGTTTCAGCCAGCTGCTTGCACAACCAAATAATTTCAAACTAAAAAGGGGGCCAAAATGGAACCGCTTAAGATTTGTCGTAGGAAAATGAAAAAAAAATTACACCGGTTTATCATAACTAATATACTCTGTAAATGTTATTATCGTGTATTTAAGTGAATATTAATAAAAAAAATCTACCGGTTTTATATTTGTCTATCTATAGATTGATATCGACTATGAGTTTCTAAATCCAGGTAATGGAAATAAATTGCTTTTGTTGTGGACTTCATTTGCTGATAAATTTTACCGTCATGCATCGACCGTTGTAATCCGAGACGCACCATGTTTGGAAATTGTTCAAAAACTCAAGCAGCCGGATATCTCCCAATGTAATAATAATTTTCATCCAACAATACATCATTATTTCATCAATGTTACTTTTTTTAGGTTCTCGGAACTTCCTGCTGTACAAGCTCTTCCCATGTATAGTCAAACCCAAACGCGTGGGACATAAAGTATTGCCAACAATTATCCAAGCGCAACAGGACTCCGTGATTCATTGTATAACTGCTAACGATATTGGCCCTGCAATTGAAGAACTAAAAGGCCATAAGGATACGTTTCAACCAAAAATTATTGTCGTTGGGCCGGAAGACACTAACCTTTGTCAGTTTTACGTTGTGAAGGACAATATTTTCTGGAAAACATGCTCTTTCTTGAAGTGCATTGATCTGGTGGTGAAAAGCTGCCTAGTGTTTGGACTGGACTTTTCTCCATATAATGAGCTGTTTTGGGTATTCGTCCGAACACACTTTCTGAAAGAAGAGAAAGTGAAACACTCCAAATCCAGCGCCATCATCAACCTCGAGCACATCTTACAGCAATGATATGCTTTATTTGCAACTCAAGTTTCAGCGAGGCAGCGATCCTGATCAAACATCTGAAGAAAATTCATGGTACACCGAGCTGTTTTACATATAAGTGCGTTCATTGTAATCCTAATCTTAAATTTCAAAATATCTATTGTTACCAAAGACATCTTAAGTTAAAGCATGAAGCTAAAAAACCAGAACAAGAGACAAATCCAGACTTTCATGGAGAATCTAGCTTTAGGCCCACAGAAAAACAAGCCGCAGAAAGTCACGAAAGTACAGAAGAGACAAATGTAGGCGTTCATGTAGAATCTAACTGTAGATCTGCAAATAAACTTGTAGAAGAGGATGAATCTGTTACAAAAACTAGAGATGACATGCTAAATAATGTGAGGGAATCGTTTTTTTCATTTACCCTTGGACTTCATAACAACAGTAATTTAACTAGAAAAAATGTGATTGATATACAAACCGATGTGACCAGTAAAATAATACGACCAATGCTACAAACAATATCAGATGCTACACTACTTCACATACCAGATGAGAGCAAAAAAATCGAAATTCAATCTCTATATGATAGTTTATCCAATCCATTTGATTTCATTGCAACTGAGCATCGCATGTTTTCTCAATTGATAAAGAATGATTTGTTCAAGCCACCAAAAATGTACACAATTGGAAATGAACTTGTGGAAATGGTGATGCATGGAGAACCCACAATAGATTTAGAGCAAGTTAGAGGATGCATCCTGCCGATTAAATTCCAGATAAAAAAGTATTTTGAGACGGGGACTATTTTTACAGAAACAATACAACACATGGAAAACCTCGAAAAGTCAGATACAATAGATAATTTCATAAATGGCACTTTGTGGAAAGAAGTTAAGCTAGGTTATTTAAATCGTATCGTTATTCCGTACTTTTTGTATTCTGATGATGCCGAAATATGTGATCCTTTAGGATCAAATGCTGGGACTCACAAAATTTGTGGCTTCTACTATCAGTTCCCCACTATTCCAACTCATCATCTGTCCAGATTGGAGAATGTATTCGTAGCAGCTTTTATAAATTCGAATGATTTTGCTGGATATGGCGTAGAAAAGTCAATTAAACCGCTTGTTGATGTTCTAGTTTCACTTGAAAATGAAGGCATAGATGTTCAAGTTGGAGGCAAAACTCATCGGGTGTATTTCGTATTAGGCGCTTTATTGGGTGATAATCTTGGCTTAAATATGCTCATCGACTTTACAACATCTTTCAGCTCGTTTTACTATTGCCGATTTTGTAAAAGAAGCAAGGCTGAAATGGAGAATGATGTTGTAGTTCACTCGGAGTACATTAGAGATGTAGAAAACTACGAAGAAGACATCACGGCTAATGATTTTCGTAAAACGGGAATAAAACGTAAATCTATTTTTCATGAACTTAAATACTTTCACGTTACCAAAAATGTTGGAGTGGACCTTATGCACGATATCTATTCTTCTGGTGTATGTAAATATGATTTAATGCTAGTTTTAAATTATCTACTACATAATTTAAACATAACTCTGGAAACCATAAATTATCGTAAACAAATGTTTAAGCTCGGATCATCAGAAATGAAATACTTGGCTAAGCCATTCACAACAAATCATATCAAGGAGGGTAATTTCAAAATGTCAGCAAGGCAAATGATGAGCTTCGTCCATTTTTTCCCTTTAATAATCGGTGATAAAATTCCTGAACGCGACCCCGTATGGTTATTTTTTTGCTCACTATTGAAAATAATTGATCTGATTTTACTTCCCAAATACGATAGAGAATTGCTCGAAAAATTGAAAAACGAAATTGAGAATCATCATACACAATATTTGAAGTTATTTCCGGATGCGAAGCTAAAACCCAAATTTCATTTTTTGCTACATTATTGCGATTCTATTAAAGAGAAAGGCCCTGTTAAATACATGAAATGCTTCAAATTTGAAGAAGAGCACCAACAACACAAGACAGTTGCACGAAATGTAAAGACAAGAAAGAATATTTTACAAACTATATCAATTAAGGCATGTCTCAAATTTTCAAATAACATTTATACCAATAGTTTCTTCAAACATGACATTCAATGTGAAAACTATGTACAGTTACAAATAAGTCAATTAGATTATTTTAATAAACTTAATGTTTCTAATATCAATCACCAGACAGTGAAAATATGTAAATCTGTTATATATAAGGGTACGTTTTATCAAAAACATGATTTTTTAACAGTATCAAATGGACAGAGTGTAAAACTGTACGAAATGCATGACACAATCATTATAACAGATAACAAATTCCAGTTAGTTGTTGCTGAATATCAGATCATAGGTTACAGAGATCATTTTGTGTCCTACGAGGTAGGATCAAAAATGGATAATTTTGCCATGTTAGACGCAGATATTTTTGACGGCCCTCCAATTCATGTTTACCTACTGAACAATGGTAAAAGCTACATACGTGTTAAGAAATATTTTAATTAGTATAGTTAATAACCTGTATAAATGCATTATTTAAAAATAAAACAAAAAATATAATCTGTCTGAAACCTTTTATTTTTATTACAATCACATTTTACAACAGAATTATGAAATTATTCATGTCATTTCAAAAATTTTATCATTTTATTATGAGAGTACATCGCAGTTATCTCGAATGTCAACACTTTTATTTGGAAAGTATTTATTTGTTCCTACAAAATAAGCAGATTTTCACATTAAACACGAAATGCTTTGGATTTGACATTTAAAAAGTTTGAACGAGAGGAGCACCTTTTAAAATAAAATTATGACCAAGCTCTTGATGTGAATGTTACTAAACATTTGCAGGGAAAGCTTTGAACTCTCTACCAAAAAGAACTAATGCGTACTCTTATTTTAACCAACGTTTTTCTTAAATCTGCAAATGTTTTTTTTTTGTGTGTAAGATGTTGATTTTTGCTTATGTATTCACACTTATTTAAAATAGTTCCAGTGCTCCAAAATTGATGAAATTTTGGATTTCGATTCCATTTGTAATGCAGATTACGAATATGAAATTACCTCAATACCCCTAAAGAACCCAATTCGCGATATATTCCACATAAAGTTGATCGATGCACTTTACTGACTACCACAACCATTACTATTAAAGTTATCAACGCATAAATAAAAAGGTTCTAATATACTTCCTTTTCAGAAAATGTATAGAGAAAACAAGAATTTGGAATGGTACTGGTTCTTAACAACCCATTATTTGTAAGGTCAACTTCCAAAAAAAAACCATAATACATACATCTTTATCACACAAACGTTCATGTTAAGTTCCATAACCATTTCAGTTAAAGTTTAGCAGGGATTATAAACAATTTTTAACCATTTTTGCTTCGCGTTTATGCGGGTTACAAAATAAAATCGATCGACTTCGCAGTACCCACAAATTAAAAAATACATATTTTTTGGGCGACATATTTTTTTATTTTTTAATAACCGTATATAAACAAAAAAAAAACTTGCCCAGTGGCCAGTGTTTACCTCCATTGGTCGTGTATGCAACAAAACATTTGATTCTGCAACAATCTGTGATGTCGCATGCAGCGAGAGAGTGCATATCACCAACACACTCACACTCAACTTATCAGAAAGAAAATTTGACAGTTCGTCTTCTTTTTGCAAAGCAAATATTCATCACCACTTTTCCAGAACGAACATCAGCAAAATATACGTGTAAGTTTTCCAAAGAATAAATGGCTTCAGCTTTTCTCCTCTGATTTGGCTCCGTTCTCCGGAAATAGTTCAGCTCATTTATTTGTGTTTGCAGCAAGTTCAGTTGCGGAATAGCGACTAGGTGGACATTATTTTATCCGACGAAATTGATTGAGCCCACTTTAAAAATCGTACGGAAGCAAATTTGAAAATACGGGTTCAATAGATAGGGAGCTAGATACCGTAAGGTGGGTGGAGAAGGCAGAAAATACTGATTGTCCAACGCACCAGCGAAGGAAGACGATCATGGTTAGTCCTGATAATGTGGAACAGTCGCTCCGGAATCTTTCGATCTCGTCGATGGATGGTCACCCGGGCAGCAACGGGAGTGGATCGGATATAGAGGAAAACAAGAACCTCAAGTGGACCCTCCCGCTAAAGGAGCTATACAAGATGGCTTGTGCGTTCTATAAAGGTAAGCATTGATGATTGGGACAGTGGATGATGGTAAAGTTTTCGCTTGTTGCAGAGAAATCCGGCAAAGCGATACACCTGAGCTACGAAGATAATTTGAAGGTAATTGGATGAGCTGAGTAATAATTTATGGTGTAACGGGTAATTATTACTGCAAGTGACCTTGTTTTACACGCTTTGTTTTCCTTTTGTTGTAGTTAATTGCTTTTACGCAACAGGCAGCCCATGGTCCGTTGGATCCCAGCAAGGCACCCCAGCTGGGTATGTTTGATGTCATTGGAAAGGATAGGAGAATTGCGTGGCAACATTTGGGTACGATTACGAAGCTCCAGGCGATGGAGGGTTTCATAGATCTGCTGGATCGATTGTGCCCGCAATTCAAACCGTATGTTGAAGCGATCAAGAAAGATCGCGAGGAAAAAGCACGACAGGCACAGGTAGAGGAAGCCAGAAGGATAGAGCAGGTTGAGAAGGAACAGGAAAAACTGGTAGAGATGAAGAGGATCGAAGATGAGAAGAACAGAGAGGAAATCCAGAGACGCCAACTTCAGGATGCTCTGAATCAGCAAACGTATCACCAGTTTAAGGATTACGCTGAGAAACAGTTCCCAGGAAATCCTGAGCAACAAGCGGTACTGATTAGGCAGTTGCAGAACGAACACTATCATCAGTATATGCAGCAACTGCAGGCACAAGTTTCTAGCAATTATTCCCAAATACGAGCAACCAGTGTGGAGAGTGAACCTGCTGAAGTCGATGGCAACGCAGCGAATGAGCAGCATTCCGGATTCCAGGTGGACCAGTCCAACAGCGTCAAAGAGAACAGTCAGCTGGAGTACAAGGAGCAGTGCGATAGCGATGACGAGTCAGGAGGTAGGACGTCCGCAAATAAGTAGTTATCACTGACTAAGCTTTATTCAATTGTTTTGCAGAGTATGCTGTCATAAACCCCGCCAACATGTGGACAAAACCTGATGTGAAACTGTTCAAACAGGAAGTAACCTCCGGAAAGGGTGACGGAGTCATTCGAGTCGGACACGGCGATACAGTCACTGTGAGTATTCAAAAGTCTTTAGGAAAATTTCCATTAATTCAAACATGCCCAATTTTGAAGGTCCGAGTTCCCACGCACGAAGGCGGTTCCAGTCTATTTTGGGAATTCGCCACCGACAATTACGATATCGGATTCGGAGTTTATTTTGAGTGGGGAAAACCAATGACAACGGAGGTTTCGGTGCACATCAGCGAGAGCGACGAAGACGACGACACGCTGGAGGATGATGATGGTAAATATGCTCTTACATGGTTGGCCGATTTTCGATTTTAAATTTTCGGTTTTCGGCAGTAGTTTGCACGGATGATCTCGAGTGTGGTGGACAGCAGCAGCACAAACCGCAGTACAACGGTGGCGGCAGCAGCAGCGCTTTGGCCAACCGGAATCCGATTTCAATTATCGTTCCCATCTATCGGCGCGAGTGTCAAACCGAAGTCTACGCCGGATCGCACAGTTACCCGGGCGAGGGAACCTATCTGCTCAAGTTCGATAACAGCTACAGCCTGTGGCGTTCGAAGACGCTCTACTATAAGGTGTTTTATACGCGATAATCGTTCTGCGGCTGGCAGTCGGTTGTTCCGTTATAGATAGGAACGCGGGAGAGAGCGCATTTTTACGAGATAAGATTTTTTGTAAGGGCCTCTTTAGGCAAACGCTCTGTTCTCTGTTACTCTAATCGAACATGTTTTCTGTCTCTATTATTCTATGAATGTACCTTTAACAAAAATAACTAGGAGGAAATGTTGCACACACAAAGACCACAACTGAAAGCGTACGAAGTCTAGTTAATTTATTGCCGAACGCAGTTGTTTGTTAGTTGAATAGATTTTAAATGTAGCATGTACACCTACTCTGAAGAGAAAAACACCCAAGTTGACAGAAAAGAAAGGTATCTTATTCCCCCCATTGGACTTAGGTGAATCTTTATTCGCTGGAAACGGCGATGTAAACTATTGAACTAAATGATCCCAATGCTGTCCAGAAAATGGTAAAATAACTCATATTGCATGATGGATGTACTGTCCCTGTGAAGATGCGACTAAGTGAATCGATTTAATTCAAATAATAAAAGTGAACATGATGTTATTTGATGTCATACCAAGCTGATGGTGTTTTATTGGCCCTGTGTGATAGGAAAATCGAACAACCCTTACTAGAGGGGGAAATTGTTTTTTGTAGGTTCCTAACGTCTGGATTCAAAAATTTGTGCTAAGTCTAGTAATTTTTTCATACCTGCAAATCACTTACCATTTACGTGAAACTGACCCAATATCTTCGGAAATGAAAATCAGCCAAACTGAATCACGTAGCTGTGCATAATTTTTAGAGTGTGGAATTATCAGGAAATTTCCTCTGAATAATAATTTTCTAATTCTCTTACTGAGGAATGTTTGAAAATAGAATGATGCATTTAATAATGCAATCAATTTACTTTCCTCGTTATTTTCTTTCACTCCTTGAGCATTGTTGGTCCGGAGCGGATTTATATTCAATAAATAAAATAGATTTTAAAAATTCAGATAGTTTAATTGTTTTTTAAGCTTCTGGAATATCGTTTTTCAACAACCTTTAAAATTGAACAATTTTTTAGGGAAATTCTGTTTAATTATACTTGGAGAAATTTTCAAGAATGTGAATCATATCAGCTTTTGTAGGTCTTTCTCACGCGAACCGAAGCGGTTGTTGGTTTGTATAAGGTTTTGCCTTCTCAAACTTCTCGATCCCGCAGACAAAACTAATCCTTTCTTTCCCAGATAATTTCCAACTCCTTCCTCAATCGCAGTCTTCTTCACTCTCCCATCCAATCAGCCCTCCATCACCAAGGATCCGTATTCGCAGGTATAGCGAGTTCAAGACTCTCACAAGATTAATGTATAAGGTGTGCTTGCTTAAAATTATGAATGTATTTCACCAAGAACCCTACACCCCACCCTTTCTTTAAATAGAATCGCATAAAACATCCTTATCAATAAGTTACATAGTCCTTTAAGAGCTTCGATTCTGTTCTAGCTCTCTTAGATCTTGTAGGTCCTTCCGTTTCATCAGTACTTACATCTTCACAATGGGTTTCCTTCTCCTTAATAGGTACAGTTTCTTCAATCGATGGGGCTGAATCTTCATCTGCATCAGAATGTAAAACAAGATCACTTGGAATTACTTTAAGATGCGCTGCGCTTCTTCTGATTTGTTTTCCACTGGAAGATGACAGCAATCTAACGTCTGTTCCTTTTTTCTGGACTACCTCAAACTGCTCTGGTGAAAAATCAGTAGGTACTGAGTTTGTTTTTCTTTCTGGCCTGCTTAACTAAAACCTGATCACCAACTTGAATTTCACTTGGTTTTGCTTTTCTTCTGATGTCAGCATATTGCTTTCCCTTCTCTTTCTCGACTCTGTCCCGATCCCTTATCTCTCCGTCTTCAATTTCCACTGATGGTACACTAGGAAGCTTTGTTCGTAGGCGACGCCCAAACATCAACTCGGATGGTGGCTTCCCAGTAGTTGTGTGGTTAGCGGCATGATACATAGGCAGGTACTGACGTAATTCTTTGCGCCAATCTTGACCAAGCTCCTGCGCTATTTTCAGTCGTTTCAATATTGACCGGTTTTGTCGTTCAACTTCCCCGTTCATTTGAGGCCAATACGGGATTGTGTTTACCAGCTGGATTCCATATTCATCGCAGAACATTTTAAATTCATCCGAACACAGTTGTGGACCGTTATCTGCGCGCAATGATAGCGGTACTCCATACCGGGATAAACCATCAGAAGTTCATCGATGGTTGCTTTGGTTGAAATATCTGTCATCTCGACGACCTCCACGTATCTGCTGTAGTAGTCTACACAAACTAACAGATTTTCACCTTCCGGCAGAGGGCCTAGAAAATCAATAGCAATTTGCTCCCATGGCCGTGATGGAAGTTCCTTCCTAGTCATTAGTTCTGGGGGATTCGGAGCCGCTACCAACGAGCACCCGCGACAATTTCGTACAAATTTCTCCACATGTTGGTCGATCTTAGGCCACCATACGCATGATCTCAAATGTCCTTTAATTATCCTTACTCCTGGATGTCCTTCATGTGCGAGTTCAAGAACTCGTCTCTGGAGATTTTGAGGCACAATAATGCGGTCAATTCTCAACAGGACATTATTCACCTGGCAGTGCTCATTGTGAATCATTCGGAAAGATAACGGAAGTTCGTCAACTATTCCAGACTCCAGAGAGTCAACCACTTGCTGGATTTCTGGATCCAGCCTACTAGCTTCCGCAATCTCGTCCCATTTTAGAGCTGCTATCGTAACAGTAGCGATAGCGATCTCACTGATTGTTAACTCTTCCGCCTCATCAAATGGTCTTGCCACTTCTGTGGAAAGTCGGGAGAAAACATCGGCAAGATTCTCTTTACCAGAGATGAACATCACGGTATACCGAAAACCCTGCAAGCGCAGCACCCATCGTTCGATACGGGCACAAGGACGTGAGGTATGCGAGAACAGGAACGTCAGCGCCTTACAGTCAGTAAGTAAATTGAACTCCCTTCCGATCAAGTAGGTTTGAAAACGTTCAACACTCCAAACAAGCGCTAATGCCTCTTTTTCCGTTTGGCAATATCTGCGCTCGGTATCTGTTAGCGATTTCGAGGCGAAACAAATAACCCGGGACTCTCCAAGTTTGTTTGTTTGTATAAGAACCGCTCCCAGTGCGAATGGGCTGGCATCTGCAACAACGGATGTAGTAAAATTTACGTTTATTTTCTGGGTTTTATGTTTCAACATTTGATTTAACATTTCAATTGGTTAGCCTTTGGCTCTTCATCTTTGTTCTAGTTAATTGGTTATTCTAATGTGATGATTGCGTTTAGCGCTAATTTACAGGATACCCTTTGTGGGATTGTTTTGGTTTGAATTTAAAAATTTGATAACCTACCTATTTGAGCACCTAACTACTTAAACTAGGTTGCCAAATCACGAATGATCTGGTGGTTTGATCGCAGACAGGCGACTCTGAACCTTTCCAGCGTGGAAGTCTTTCGCTCCTCGAGTGTTTGAATACCGGCCAGGTGGTGAATCTCAGAATTACGAGTTCGCGGTGGACTGTTAAGGATCATTCTGAGGGTCTTGTTTTGGATCCTCTGAAGCTTTAAGTGGTGGCACTTAGCACAACTCTCCCAGATTGGCATACCATACTCCATAGCCGGCAGAATGATTTGCTTGTGGACAGCAAGCTTGTTTTTGAGGGACAGGGTGGACTTCCTGTTTATCAGAGGGTAGAGCGACCTGATCAAGATGTTACATTTGGTGGATGTCTTGTCCACATGGGATCGGAATAGCAATTTGCTATCGAGGGTGAGACCAAGGTAGACTACTTCACTCGACCATTCAATGGGAGTGCTATCAAGATGGATCTTGACGTTAGCAGGCGGAACAAGCCGAGGTGAATACGAATGTGGAAACAGAATGGTTTGTGTTTTAGCTGCATTGAGACAAATCTTCCAGCTCTTAAAATAGTCGGACAAAACATCCAGGCCTGATTGTAGTTTACTCGCCAGAGCACGGATCACTCGACCCTTATAGATGATGGAGGTGTCATCTGCGAACATTGACAGGATACCACCACCCGGCAGGGGAGGAACGTCTGACGTGAAAATGTTGAATAGGATAGGCCCAAGCAGGCTACCTTGAGGGACTCCTGCATCAACGTTGAACGTATCAGAGGAGACATTGTTCAAGTAGACCTGGAATGATCTGCCCGACAAGTAGTTTTTGATGATCTTCACGAGGTAGTTCGGAAAGTTGTATCGATGCAGCTTGTACACTAGACCATCATGCCAGACATTGTCGAACGCCTTCTCGACGTCCAACAATGCCATGGCAGATGTATTGGAAACGGACTTGTTCCGCTTGATGATGTTAGTAACCCGTGCGAGTTGGTGGATGGTAGAGTGGCCTTTCCTAAACCCGAATTGCTCTTTAAGAAAGATGTTATTATCATTTGAAAACACCAGCAGACGGCTGAGTATCAATTTTTCGAATAGCTTCGAGATGGAGGACAAGAGGCTGATGGGGGATAGCTTTTGGCACTGGTAGGGTCTTTGCCAGGTTTGTGAATTGGAATAACTTTGGCTAACTTCCAGCATGCAGGGAAGTAGCCAAGCATTAAACACTTGTTGAAGACCACTGCAAGGTGCTTGAAGAAGTCAACACTCAAGTTTTTCAGCTCGAGGTTGACCACTCCATCGACACCAGGGGCCTTCATGTTCTTTGTTGATTTAATCGCTGCTATCACCTCATCAGCCGATATTCTACTTTCGTCAGGGACAACTACGGGGGTGGCAGCGACACTAGCCATTGCCTGTGATACTGCAGGCTCGTGGGGACTCACCATGGCGTGGCCAAGGTTATGTGAATTTACAAAGTGTTGTCCAAGAGCATTGGCCTTTTCAAATGGGGTTATTAGTAATGATGGGTCCGAATTTTGGTTAGGAGAGGAAAGGGGAGGAATGGGCCTCGGCTTATTTTTCAAAATCTTTGCCATTTTCCAGAATGGCTTAGCACAATCTGGGAGAGAGCGAATCTTGTTTGCAAAATCGATATTTCTGAGATCCACCATCCTGGCTTGGATGATTTTGTTCAAACGGTTGCAATTGGTCTTCAGGTTAGGCAGCCCAGTACGCTGGTACTGCCTACGAATCGTGTTGCGGAGTCTAATGAGGTCTTTAGTAGGCCTGTCAAGGTTCAGAGTATTACTCACCTGTCTGGATACTGGCACATGTAGCTCCCTGGCCCGGGAAATTGCTTGATCGATGGAGCGCAGACACCGGTCAACATCTTCGGACGATTCCGGTTGGACATAGTAGTCTACAGCGGTGTCGACGCAATGTTGGAACTGACCCCAGTCAACACGATGATAGTTGCGCCAGAAAGCTTCAAATCGATTTACGGAGGATCCCACCTCAGTCACCACCGGGTAGTGGTCCGAGCTGAGTTCCTGATAGGTGATAGGTTGAGCGATGTTGTTGCCCATGTTGCTGATGAAGATATCGATGGTAGCGTGAACACCGGACCGACTCAACCGGGTGGGAGTTTCCGGACTCAAGA